ACAAGATAGATAAGATTAGGAATGTAAACAATAGACAACAGATATGGTTGGGAAATAAAACCAAAATGTGCAGACTAAATGCAAATAAAGAAATCACTAGCATGTTTTTAAAAAGAAAATAGTGTAAATAACAAAGTCACTATCAAAACTGTGGGATATCAAACGGAAAAAAAAGGGGAAAGGATAATAAGATAAAAAAGAGAAAAGAGAAAGAAGTAATAATTAGATCTACATCAGGAAAGTATGAACGAAAATTATGTAAAAATAAAAATAATATAATGATAAATTTAGATTATTAATGTATATAACAATTTTGTTAATAAGTTCCATTATCATTATTAATATTATTAAGCCTCTCATTCCCTCTAGTTATTAAAAAATTTTTAGGATTTTTGAGTTGCAAGGTTGTTATTTTTATTTTAAAATGAATGGCATGGTCAAAAATTAATATGAATGAAAAAATGCTCCGATTTTAGAACTTTTAAAATTTTTAAGCCTCTAAACAATNCATTACGTAATAATATGTCAAAAATTCCGATTTTTAAATATTTTCAATATTATACTCTAATCCAAATTATGTAAATTCTAAAAAGAAACGTTTAAAAACCGACCATACATAACTATAAATGTTATTATATGATGCGATTTATGAATTATTACGTAATGTGTATCTTCTTAGATTATTGAACAACGAAATTAATTCAATTTTCTCAACGACAGCGATGTGCTAACCAAGACAATTGAAATTTAAATTTGCCGCATTATTATTGTAAACTCTTTCTATGGAAATCTATATTTATTATTTACATACATACCTACATCGTATGAGCCAGAGTGACAAAAGTTTTGAAAGTCAAATAAAACAAACGCAATAAATAATCGAACATCATTCAGTCTTTCGTAATCGGTAGGTACCAACAAACAGCAATCCTTTAACAGCCGCATACTTATCTACTGATTCATTAACCTACGCAATATATTATCCTTTGTTTGTTCACGCCCTTAACAACAAATAATCCTTACCCAAGACCAACGGTACTTTATCTTCCACCGATCCCGAAATACATTGAATACACAATTACTTACCTGCAAATATATTTCGATATGTATTTTGTTCCACATACTTCAGCAAAACGCCTACCACAATCGCGGAACAATGACTACACAGCCGTCAATTGAACTTGACCTTAATAAAGGAACAACATCTATGCAACAAAGTGGTTTTTGCTTGATATCTGAGTATGTATCAGATTAAATAACTTTTCCGATACAAAATACTTACATGAGATTGATTGTATACGCGCATATCATTATGAATGGTTCGGCTTTAGAAAGAAGAATTGATTCTCCGTGTCGCTGTCACTCCTCACACAACCTACGGACCAGAATTGGTACCCTGAGGAACTCCTCCTGTCCTTCTTATTAAATGATTTTTCCGGTAACGCATCTGATTAACCCAGATGATTTAAACGAGATAGTTTTTTTGGTCTCTATTAATCCTAGTGCAGCTGTGACAGATTTGAACTTGAAATTCTTTATTTAATAGGAGAAATTATTTATATGTGCCTACCTATAAAGAAACAGTTTTTTTATTCTACACGGAGAAAACAAATTTTTTTTATGACAATGCAAAAATTACAATTTTCGATTGTAAATAACGTAGAAATAATAAAATTTATTAGGTAACTTGTAATAATCTCAATTACGACGTGTTTTTTTGAAAATTATTTCAAGATTCTTAATTATTACAATTTAATTTGTAATATCAACTAAAATACCTAGTAAATTTATTTCTGCTGGGATTTTATTTTTACAAATTCGGTTCCAAATTGTAATTTTTATTATTTTCGCTTACGAAGCAACGGACTAGTGGGATAAATTGTAAATATCGCTTTAATATTTAG